CAGCAGGAAAAAACCAAATAGTTATTTCCTATTATACTCTCAGCACCGAACACTTGTAACAAATGGAAGGATTTCCCCCCACACCGAGCAATACTCCGTTTCCCCGAGGACACCAGCTGGCACCCTACCAGTGTGTTCCATTCTGACACTAACCAGAGTTAGCACAGATCACCTGGTGAAGAGCTGAATTCTGCAAAACTGCCCCACGTCAGAGAGATGCCAGTCACCACCACCCCGGGCTGTCACTTGTACTTCACCACCCTGACTGTCACTTGTACTTTTGACTGACTGCCTACAAAGCGGGATCCCTGTACCCCCTTATCAGGTTTGATAGTTTGCTAGGATGACTTATAGAACTTAGAGAAACACTTATGTTCACTGGTTTTGTTAAATAATAGAGGATATGAAGAAGGAGTCTTATTGTGTACAGGGCTTCCATGATGACATCCAGGCTCTTGGTGTTTCATACAAAGAACTGAATAAAACACACCAATGACAAAAGGAAAAGGTAGATTATTTTTTATTTATCTTTTTTAGAGGTTTTTCCTATAGGGTGCATGTACTCTCCAGAAAGACAGAGAGAGACAGAGAGACAGAAAGCGAGAAATCACCCACCCCCACCCCCCCGGGGGGGATGGCCACGCCGCAATCCCTTCTTCTCCATTCTCCTCTCAGGATCTTGGGCAAGCACGCACACGCACCAGGAGTGAGTTTAAGCCATCGGGTCTGGGACTCGAACTGTGGTCGACTACATGGGAGTCCAACGACACAGCCGCTATGCTAACTGTTGGTCCTGGAAAAAGTAGATTATTAAGTAAAAGTGGAAGTTTATGATTTTAAATGATTTATTTTATTTGTTATTACTATTATTATTTTAATTCACCAGAGAGAGAGAGGGAAAGTGAGAAAGCAAGATGCCAGGTCTGGGACTTGAACTGTAGTTGGCCATGTGAGAGTCCAGTGCCTCAACCTCCATGCCACTTGCTGGCTTGAAAGTTTATAATTGTTTTTTTTTTTTTTTGAGAGGCTTTTTGCTACAGGGCGCGTGTGCTCACCAGAAAGACAGAGACAGAGAAATAAAAAGCAAGAAATTACCCCCCCCCCCGGGAGGATGGTCAGACTGCAATCCCCTCTCCTTTTTTCTCTTAGGATTTTGGGCATGCACGCACACCTGGCCCATGTGAGTTTTAAGTCAATGGGTCTGGCACTCGAACCACGGTCCACTATGTGGGAGTCCAGCGATGTAACCATTACGCCCTCCACTGGTCCCCAGGCATCAATTACTTACTCAAACTCTAGTCCATCTCCTCCCTGGAGAATGGGAGGTGGGGCTGAAAATTCCAAATTTCTAATCATATTCCTCTTTCTGGTGATCGGCTCCCATCCAGAAGCCCACCAAAGTCACTATGTTAGAATAAAAAACGTCAGGGAATTCCCAGGAATTTGGGATCTCTGTGTCAGGCCCACTAATCACTCAGGGAATACAAAGGTCGTAGGAGCTTACATCGGGAACCTGGGTCAAAGACCAAGAGTAGAACAAGAGTCCCCTGGCACCCGATTTACAAGGGTCTTAGAAGCTGTGTCAGGAACTGGGTTGAAGACCAATACGTGTTTCCTATTATTTCACAGCATCTCAGACAAAGAGTCCTCTGGGGTTAAAGACGTGGGCTTTGCAGGGTTTTTTCACCTGTTCTTCTGACTGACTGGCAGTGAACATTAGGGCTTCTACGAACCTTGAAAGCATTCTTCCTTAGTGTTTCAGCAGAAGCCTAAAGTACAGGAGAGAGCTTATCTTGAAGAGATTTGTGGATATGGCTTTTGTCTAATGAAGTAAATCCCAGTAAGATTCATTAACCACACACAACCACACATTTTTTTAAAAAAATGACATTTACCAAGCACTGACAGGGTGGGCTGAAAGGAACAAGGAGAGTACAAAACATAAAACAAGGGGCTGGCAGGTGGCGTGGTGGTTAAGGGCACTGGACTCCCACATGGCTGATTGCAGTTCAAGTCCTGAACCTGGCAGCTTACTTTCTCGCTTTCCCTCTCTTTCTCTGTCTCTATCTGATCAAACTGGAAGATAATAACAAAGTTAAAGAATTCTTTTTTTAAAAAAGTAAAACAAAACAAAGCAAGAAGCTTTGTTTTTGAGAGAGAGAGATTTTTGCTATAGGACACACATGCTCAGCAGAAAGACAGAAGTACAGAAACAGAAAGCGAGAAATCACCCCTCACAGGGGATGGCCACGCCGCAATCCTTTCTCCTCCATTCTTCTCTTGGGATCTTGGGCACTCACACATGTGTGCCCGGTGTGAGTTTTAAGCCGCTGGGTCCTGAACTCGAACGTGGGCAACTACATGGGAGTCCAGAGTAACATAACCATTATGCCATCTGCTGGTCCTGAAAGAAAGCGTTTCTATCCTCCCAATTTTTAGGCAGGAAGCAGCCTGAAACCCTCCGAAGCTGTGAACACGGCTGTCTTTCGTGGGAAGAGGAGGATAATGCACATGGCTAAGCCGAGGGCAGTGGGAAAGACGTCTTCCACTTTCGAGGGCATGAGTTTGCAGCCAGAGGTTTCAGCATGCTGGGCTGTTTCCCAGCCACATTCGTCTTCCCCGGGTACAGGCATGGAGCAGCTAGGGTTAGAGGTTTGCCGGGGAGTTCAGAGGCAGGGGACAGGGCCTGGGAATGGAGGGTGTGCTGGAGGGTGGTTGTGGTGACCACGGACTATGGCATCGAGGAGAAAGGAAGCATGTGTGAGGTGACATGTGGCAGGATTCCAGGGTCATGGGTCCCAGTGGGGTCGAAGAGGTGCTAGGATCAGGTCAATAGGACTGGCCTAGGGAGACCGGAGGCTGGAGCGAGAGTGAGGAGGGGAGCGTGACTCCTGCTGACTCTGCGTGGGTGGCTGAGGCAGGCAAGAGGACGAGACCCCTTGAGGAGGGGAGCCGAGGAATCAGAGGCCGCGGTCAGAGGCAAGGATCGTCCAGGAGTCTACATGGGCCTGAGGTCAGCAGG